TTTTAATTTTGGATGGCAATATCTTTGTTCTCTCTCCAATCTTAATATATTAGGACTATTGGTCCCTCTGTGACGCCACTGAATAAAGGAACGTCATGTTTGTAATTATTTTTGTAATAAACATTTATTGTCGTTATACAGGGTGGTCCGAACTGTATTCCGGAAACTTCGGCAGCATATTCTACAGATAAAAATAAGTAAAAAAGATCCTATAAATGTATGTCCTAAAATGCTTAGTTTCGGAGATACAGGGTGTAGAAGTTTCATTTTTATTTCAATTTTTTCCAAATAATTTCTGAAGTAACGTCAATATTTGGTTCAAAATTGGTGTCTAGGAGTTTTTTTGATATGAGAAATTTGATTTTGATGTCAATATGACTCCTACTAGTAGAGGGCGCCACCTATATGTGTTTTAACTGATTTAAAGCGTACTAACTTTTTGTCCGTACCTGTATAAAACTACCAAGCGAAAAAATATACATCTCTGTGACTTTTTACGTAAAAAATATCTCTTTGTAAAAATCGCTACGAGCAACCGTTCTTAAGATATTTAGAATGGAAATAGTCAAAACATGGCATTATTGACGAAAAATAAACACGATGAGTAGATATTTATTTCACTGAAAAAATAAATTTGGGAAATTTTTATTTTTTTAAATTAATCATAATTTTTTCTGCAAAAAATGATGATAAAACAGTTTCTGTTGAACTTTTGGCACAAAAATATTTCAAATTTATAATATAAATGTCTAATAACTATTTAGTCAACATGTTTAATTTATGTCAATGATGACAGGTATTGATAATTTCGATTCCAAACATCTCGAAAACTATTACTGATAGCGATTTTTACCAAAAGACCTTTTTTCGCGTAAAAAACGTCGTAAATGTATATTTTTTTACTCAGTAGTTTTATACAGGTACGGACGAAAAGTTATTACTCTTCAAACCAGTTAAATAATATGCAGGTGGCGCCCTCTACTAGTAGTAGTCATATTGACATCAAAATCAATTTCTCATGTCAAAAAACTCCCAGATACCAATTTTCATCCAAATACTGACGTTACTTCAGAAATTATTTGGAAAAAATCGAAATAAAAATGAAACTTCTACACCCTGTATCTCCGAAACTAAGCATTTAAGGACATACATTTATACGAACTTTTTTAATTAATTTTATCTGCAGAATATGCTGCCGAAGTTTGCGGAATACAGTTCGGACCACCCTGTATACGCGAATATCAGATTTACCACAGCTTAATTTATTACATTCAGAGTTTAATAATGTATTAATGTGAACTGTGAACATTTTACTTACTGGATAGGGAGGATGAAA